CAAAAAAAAAAAAAAAAAAAACGATGAAAACAAATAGAAGCCATTCTATTACTGTATATTTATTCATTGATATTCTGAATGAGTGAAATTATGAATGTTAGGTGGAGAACATATTGGTGATTGGGCACAGCTGTTGTGGAGGGATAAAGGGCCTAATGTCCATTCCTGATGATGGGACCACTCAAAGGTTAGTGTTCTCTAAATAATGGCTATTACACCAATTCTTGTTTATGGAATGTACTCATGATATCTTATATGGAGCCTTCACTTAATTATGGATTTTCAGTGACAATTAATAATACTTGTTCACAAAATCGTAATAACAAGCATATATTTTACGGAAATTCATTAGCCCATGGTTATGACTTGATCAATAATGATATATATTGATGCGTAGAAAGTATGACTTTTCTACTTCTGCGTGAAACATTGTTTCAAAAAGTATATATCGATCATAATACGTACATCTTCATATTATTATTTTGTGCACAATTCACTTATTTTATTTTTTGGTCAACATTCAGCGACTTCATAGAGGAATGGGTTAACATCTGCAAGCCCGCGAAGGCTAAGGTTAAGGCGGAATGGAATAATTTGGATTTCAGCGAACAATGCACTCAATTGGAGAAGGTAAAATTCAAATATTATATATATATACACATATATATACAAACACAACATATATATAGATATAGGAATTGGTTCAAATGCGGCCGCTATTTTAAAGTGAGAACGTGAGACTCATTTTTAGCCACAAGATTTGGTACATCATGTGTGGCTAATATTTATTCTTTTCTCTTTATTATTTTAATTATTTAAATATTATTTTGACCCATTACTCCGACGTTGACCGTTGACTTCCGGCGAAATCCGTTGACTTTTGGTGTTGACCATTGACTTCCGGCGTTGACCAGTTGACAACTATCCTTCCAACTAGATTAGTTATCTGTAGTTGTTAGGTTAGTTTATGTAATTGCTAAGCTAGTTCTCTGTAGTTGCTAGGTTAGTTGTCTGTAGTTGCTAGGTTAGTTCTCTATAGTTGCTAGGTTAGTAGTTGCTAGGTTAGTTCTCTCTAGTTGCTAGGTTAGTTCTCTGTAGTTACTAGGTGTTTTTTTTAAAACAAACAACGCCTCAGAAGGCGGGGGATTGGGCTGGATCCCCAACCTGTGCATAGATCAAGGCCCCAAAACGTGGGCCCAACAAATCAACAGTCTACAGAGTCTCAAAATCAAAACAACAAAGAAATAATAATACAAAGTCTGTCTACGGGCTAACATGTGCCCGGTAATAAAAGTCTAATCTATTGAAAGCGATAAACCTAATATACTGAAAACGGAACGATGGATATCCAAGCTGGTCCATCCGTACAAGCGTGCGAAGGCGGAGTGGAGTAGTGTCGGTCTAAAACGTATGTGGGTCTGGTATGGTGGCGCCAAGGCTGGCAAGGTAGTCTGCAAGTCTGTTCCCCTCACGAAAAATGTGAGTGATCCTGTGATGGACAGACCGAAGTAGAGCTTTAATGCGCATAAGCGGGTGGTGAATCTGCCACGAGCCCTGGTGACCCGAAGTCAGGAGGGTGGCGACAGCCGCAGCGTCCAGCTCGATCCAAATATGGCTAGAAAGGTGGACAACAATATGAAGGCTGATCTGTAATGCCTGAATCTCTGCGTCGTAGCTCAAGGAGGCCTAAAAGGGGCGCGTGGAAGGCGGTGATGAGGGCGCCGCTGTGGTCCCGGATCAAGCCTCCTCCTCCGGCAAGTCTGGTATGGCGATCAAAAGAACCATCAGTGTTTAGCTTGACCCACGGAGAGTCAAGTCGAAGCCAAACAAGAGTTCTAGGCCGAGGGGGCCGAATAGGCGGTGGTGGAGCCACCATGTAACGATGTGGCGGTGTGCAACCTGTGAGGAGTGAAATGTGTCTCTCAACCTGCAAAACAATGTGAGAAATCAAAAAAGTAATATCTCTATGCTTCGCACTATTCCTCTCCGTCCAGGTGAACCAAAGGATCAGACAAGGAATGAGGAAGCCCACGTGTCTAAGGTGTGTGCTCTGTGAGAAAAAACTCAAGAGCTCAAAGAAACAGTCTGTGGTGGGTAGGGATATATGGGTCCAAGTGGCAAAATGCTCTCACACTCTCCTCACATTCTCACTCTCTAGAAAAAGGTGGGTAAAGGTCTCGGTCTCATGGCGTCCAGTCTCAGAACAACACACACACCGAGAGGAGAATGAGATACCCCTCGCGTGTAACACAGTATCCACGGGTATCCGGCACAAGAGGAGGCGCCAAAGGAACACCGAAATGGTAGGGGTGAAAAGGTCGCTCCAGATGGCCCCGAAAAGAAGATTAGACCGATCTCTCAGCCTGATCTGCTCCCAAGCCGAGGTAGTAGAAAACACACCCGATGATGTAAGTCTCCACCTCATGCCACCAGAGCCCAACTCCCTATCAAGCTTCCCCCTATCCCACGACCCATACGACCTTTGTAGTTGCTAGGTTAGTTTTCTATAATTTGTAGGTTAGTTCTTTGTAGTTGCTAGGTTAGTTTTCTTTAGTTGCTAGGTTAGTTCTATGTAGTTTCTAGGTTAGTTCTCTGTAGTTGCTAGGTTAGTTGTCCGTCGTTGCTAGGTTAGTTCTCTGTAGTTGCTAGGTTAGTAGTAGTTAGGTTAGTTCTCTGTAATTGCTACGTTAGTTCTCCGTAATTGCTAAGTTAGTTCTCTGTAGTTGCTAAGAGCTGCTTCATTTTAAGAGCTGTCCTCATTTGATCCGTCCCTATGTATATATATATATATATATATATGTGTGTGATATATCTATAAAATGTTGACATTTGTCTGGATATTTATATGTCTTCGTGCCAATGTAGGAGGCTGTTAATGTTTCGCTAGGCAATCTGTTGACCTATCCTTTCGTGAGAGAAGCTATTGTGAAGAAGAGTCTTTCTTTGAAGGGCGGTCACTATGATTTCGTGAAGGGCTTGTTCGAGCTTTGGAACCTCGATTTCAACCTGTCTCCTTCTGTGACTGTATGAAGATTGATCACAGATTGTGGCGTGTAGTATGTAGTATTATATTTGATCCAATGTTGTTGATGTTTGGGACAATTTCACGTGCTTTTAGTTGGAAAAAAGAATAAGGTTTCTTTGGATTATGCTGAGTATAGAGTGAGGGAACAAGGTGCAAGTTTGACTAAATTAAGCACTTTTTTTGTTTCTTATCTTTTAACTTTGGTTCGTAGAGATATTGTCTATCATGAGTATATATGCTAGACAAAATCAACATGGCTGAANATAGATACTAGTATAATACCGTACGTTGCATGAATACTTTTTAAAAAAATTATATTTCAATTAAAAATGTAATGAAAACTATATTTTAAGTTTTAGTTACTTTTTTAAAAAATATATGATTATTTCTATTCAAAATGTCACCAGTCAAAAATATGACTTACTCATTTTATATCTTAATATTTTTATATAATATTTTTATAACTTATATTATATAACTGCTCTGTAGATAAATTTACTCTAACTTGTAAAATAATTATATTTTTTTCCAATTAAAATTATTAGATAATTTAAGTTTTATATGTAAAGTGAAATATAATTATTTATTTATTTTACATATACAATATGAATGTCAAATCAAAGCTAATAAAAATATGATTAATTTGATATCTTTTATATGAAAAACTCATAATAAATACAAAAGTTAACTTTTAATAAAATTTACATTTTAACATAATTGACTGTGTTATAATTTTAAAAAATGGGGGAAAAGAAATATGAGTGAAAAAAAAATTATGCCTTATAAAGCACTTATAGAATAAGAAATGAAACAAATGCACAATTAATGCTCATAAAAGGGTCATAAATATTCATTATATTTATAGATAATTTTAAGTCTAATTATTTTTAAATTTGAAATAAATTAAAATCTATCAAAGCTAAATGACGAAGTATGAAATTTTTCCACAAAGGATCCGAAGCATGCGAGTCTGCCATTTATTCTCAGCACATTCTGAAAATTATATACAAGGGGCTTATAAAAAAGAAAAAAAAACAAAAAAAAAACACATAAATAAAACTAGACAACAGCTAGATTTGACCAAGTAGTCATCTAACTGAATCTGGCGGAAGACTACCCGACTTCGGGACCCTACAAAGACTACTCTGACGCACCCACAAGACAAACAAACTAAAAAACTCCTAAGAAGGGAGAATACATCTCCTACAATAGGAGAATAAGCAGCTAAAACAGTAAAAACACCCACAAAACTACAACAGAACACTAACAAAACACAACACGAAACATACGTAAGATAGAATAACACCCTCCTCTCCACAAGTGAAACAAACTGCAACACATCGCGGCCGGACACCCAAAGACAGTCGTCCACTCAGATAGGACTCCTGACCGAGCATTGCTCTAGAAAATCTTCTCTGCAATGGACCGCCCCTGGAGTTGATACCGGAGGCCGACCCTCTTCTCCCCTCCCACCATCAGCACCCGCCACCCGAACCTACCTACCAACCAACCAACCAACCACCAAAAGCCTCACGACTAACCAACCGACCAAACCCAAACCACCAAACCTAAGGAGACGGAAAAAGGGGAGAGGGAGCCTTACCTTAGCCTCGTCCTGCACAGAGGAGGCGGGACGAAGCCCTCATAACATCCCCACTCAGATCCCTGGGAGCCCCGTTCCCTGGATCTGGAAGGGTTTGATTCAATTGTTTTTTCCATTTTTATTTCCAGAATTACCTAAAGATAACAATTTCACTAAAACCGAGGACGACCCTCTTCTCCCCTCGCACCATAAGCACCCGCCACCCGAACCGACACACCAACCAACCAACCACCAACAGCCTCACGACTAACCAACTGACCAAGCCCAGACCACCAAACCTAGTGAGATGGAAAAAGAGGAGAGGGAGCCTTACCTCAGCCTCGACCTACACCGAAGAGGCGGAACGGAGCCAGCCGAACGTCCCCAACTCAAAATCCTGGGACCGCCGCTCCCTGGAGCTGAAAGGGTTTAATTCAATTGTTTTTGCCATTTTTATTTCCCGAATTACCTAAAGATAACAATTTCAATAAAATCCTACATACAATGGTTTTTAGTAAAAAATTCAGATTGAATGAAGTTAGATTTAGTGAATTCAACTGTATAAATTTACATTTTAGTAAAGGGAAACATATCAACCGTGCATTGCACAATTTGATATTATGAAGCGAATGTGCGAATATAATGTGATTATAAAATATGTCAAAAGTAAAATTTTGGTCCTATTAGATTTAGATGACAGCTGAGTTTAGTCCTACGGCATTGATTTGTTGCTATTAGTACTACAATTAATAATATCAACGCAATTTTAGTCCAAAAAGCGTTAGAAAGTTATAACTGATGTCGAAAATGACACGTGTTGAGATCTATGAGGATCATCGTAATTGTGTACTTCAATAATTAGTTTACAAGCAACCTATGCGCAGTGGATCTATAGATTAGCGTAGAAAACATACGTCTTAAAATTTTGCAATCTCTAAGACGTTGTAGATTTCTGTTGATGGAGATCGTCTGATTTCCCACTCACCAAAAATTGCCTTATCGGATGTCTCGGTGTCACCAGGTATCGCGCAGGTCGTGCGGGATTGTAACTGATTGCCGGGTGGCGTCGAGTGGCTGTCGGGACTGCAGCGGGTTACTTGGACGAGAGTGGGTCCTGCGAGGATGTCGCGGGCGGCAGGCGTGGAACAGAAGCAGGGAGCAGGACTCGACGGTAGCAACGGGCAGTGGGAGTAGGTCACACGGGCTTCTCGCGGGACAATGGGATTGGACGCCGAGAGCGTCAAGTCGCGTCAGGCTACGCATGGCAGTCGAGTGCTCGGCCAGTGGTTGTCGGCTGCTCGACTACCGTGAGTTCTTCTATTTAATATCCAAATAACTCTAGAAATCCCTAGGTGAGAAAGAGACTCTAAATATTTCTTAAGTCTAAAGTGTATGGATGTCTTCCAAACATAAGAGAGGTGGTGTATTTATAGGTTTCAATAGGCTCCCTAAGGTGTGCCGTTATTAATCATTCTGTCCTTTCCATAAATACACCCCAGAGAGTGTCGTTATTGCTGCTTAGGATGTCACAATAGCGACAATACAACCAAGCTTTGCAGTATACTCCAAGGAATACTCGCGAAACTCAAAAGAATCCTCGATCACGAGTGACGTATCTTCAAGTCATGGTATCCATGTTTGACCATCTCATTCTTTTTCGAGAGGGGATGAAAATGTTTGGTCATAGTCCCCGGAGTCAAATCTCGACCCATTTGTTGGGTTCGATGAAGAACGTTGGTTATTGTTCTCTAAATAAATACCTAAGAAATTAATCCTAAGCGCAGTGGAAACTAGAGCTTAGGATTAAGATCTTACAGTTATCACAAAAGCTGACTCTATACAGACTACACGGGCTTCGGGCTCGAACGAACGACTATAAGATAATCTTCAACCTTGCTTCGTCTACCTCGTACGTGCCTTCTCCATTCACTGAGTCGATGTCTTTGTCGGCGCCGGATTGTTGTTCGCGATTATCTTGTGCTTTGCTAGGCGTTGCGTGGGGGTACTGATCGCGAGCGCCTGTGCGGCTGGTCGCTCGTCACGGCTGCTGGGGTGTGTCGTCGGGGTTGCGCGGATGCTGGTCACATGCGGCTGGTGGTTCGCGGGTCGCCGGTCATCGCCCAACATCTTGAGTCTTTTGTTGTATTCATTGCCTCAGTCGGATATTCTTCTTTTAAAGTGTCCCAAACCTCCTTTGATTTTCGTGCTTCGTTGATTCTTAGAAACAAGGACTCCGTCATGACCAGTTGTAGTGTGAAGAGAGCCAGACTATCTTTTTCATTTTCCACGTCGAATGTTTCTTGTCCGTTGTAGACAAAGTGGACATATCAACGGGGATTGTATTCCCGTTCTCTGCAATATTCCATAAGCCTTGGGACATAAAGTATGTCCTCATTTTAGTGGCCCAACAGTAATAAATTTGAACTAAGAAAATAGGAATTTGTATTTGTTGAGTGTTTTTTAGAAAGTGACTATTTTAGAGATTCATTATTAGTGCAGGCAAAAAGCATCTTCTGTCGCGCAGGTAGTAACTAATTTGGACAAGATATATAAAAATAAGAAGTTATGTGAAAATAATTTCACTCAACTATTTATCCAACCGTACTCTGATACTACTGGTGGTATCTACTATCTAGTTTAAGTATAATTAAATTGAAATTAAGATTTATTTCTTTGTGTTTGAAAATAGGGTATCTTAGATATATGAAGGGTGAAGTGATTGACTTATATTTCTGGAAAGTGAATGTAAGGACAATGAATTGTAGACACTTGTCTCTTAATTTCACAATTCCACACAATTTACATGTATTTTCAAAGCTGTTAAGGCGATTTAAACAACCATAACGAAGTTTCTTGACTTCTCTAGTTTTATCATTCAATGTATTGAAATGATTATTCTTGCCGCTAGAACTCTCTAGATTTTCTCAAGTAATAAGAATTTTTAAAAAAAAATATTTAATCTAGTCTAGAACTTTCTTAGAGCGGTGCGAATTATGAGCATAATTAACAATTATACTATTAAATATAAATATTAGATATAAATTTAATAATATAAAAATAATTTTAAGTGAAAAATAAAAAATACAATATCACATGCTACACGCGTACATCTTCCTAGTAACCTCAAATGTTAAACAACTCAAGGACGTTTTTAATTGAACTTAAGATCATAAGCCTTGACCCCGTCAACCAATATCCCAAATGCTTCTCGCACTCATTTCAACCCTTGCCAATTTCATCGAACAACTTCACCAATTCCCTCCTCACCACATTCCCATTATAACCAACGCATTAATTGTTGCGTCAAACATGTTTTCTATATGCCATGTTCTGGTCAACCACAATCCCTGTTGATCTAAACAGAGCATAGTCTAACGTCACTTGCTTAAGATCATCTGCATACGTAAAATAAGGGTACACATT